AAAAAAAAAAAAAAAAGGCAAAAACAAAACACAGACACTTTTAATTAAGCATAGTTACCAAATATCTGTTTTGAAGAAGAGAACACTTATAACTAAAAATAGCAGTATAAACATACATATAGTCTGGACTGGCGAAATTAGCTGAGGGCTAAAGCTAAGCAAACTTTCCACTTGGCAGTCAACAGGTTCACCACTGTTATTACTGTTATTCAAAGAGGTAACAGCAACCTGCCTAGTGCATTCACATGAGTAAAAGGTATTTTGAAAGGGTGTACAGTTTTATTCAATCCTTGTAATGAGGTAATGCTTAAAAATTAAAAAGTAGTTAAGAGGCTCACTAAATGCAATATATTTCTGGTACACTCATACCTATAACTGACTCATTACTATAAAATAATTTTACTACAACTAACAAGCATAACTATTTGATAAATTTCTACACAAGCAGTCAAATTTACTATATAAAGCTCCTCAGGCAGGAGTACAGAATTTTGATAACTAATAGGCAAGCAAATATAGAATGGCTTGTCTTATTTTTTTAAATTACCACTATTTAGGCTTGGTCATTCAATTAGCTAAAAGCCTGGTAAAATCTTTTGACACACAGAAGTCTAAATAGTTGTTGAAAGAATGATGACTAAGATGGACACTATTAATTATCCTAGCCTTCTTGCTAGAATATAAACAAATTATTACTTGAGCACCTATGTAACATCAGGCAGTTTCAATGCTAGAGATATACAGTAAAATGGCAGACAGACAACCTTAGCATCATGGAATTTAGGTATCAGAGTCAACTCTAAATCACATTGGAAAGCAAAATACCTGAGGTAGTAGTGGTAAGAGAGGAGGGAACCTAATAAAGGCTATGACATAAGCAAGGTTATGATTAGCAATTTTGTCATCTGTTCTACCTTGACAAACAGAAATACTTTCAATAAGAAAAACTAACCAAAAGTTACTATATAGTCAAAAGACTTTAAAGAGTATAAAATATGTAATATCGACAGCATAACACTTCTCAAATAGCAGGTACTCAAACCCAAGTTCCCTACAAAGAAAGGGAAAGAACTTTATTCTTTAACAGTCTTTGACTCACTTTTCTTCTTCATGTTGCTCTTGTTTTGATGCCCACCCAGTGCCATCTTTAGGTACAATGTTCACATTGGGATCATTGCCTTTGTTTTCTGCTTTAAGACTCGGGAGGTTAGCAGGTGGAGGCATGCGCCGTGAAATACCAACTTTTCCAAGACTCTGTAATCCATGTCGAGCTGCAACTAAAGATCAATAACATCAACTTTCTTAGAACATCTATTTTATCACCCATTTTATTCCTCAAATAACATAGAAAAAAACTAAGAATTAATGGAATCCCTGAATGATTTCAATCCTGTATTTTAAGAATTTTTAAACTAAGCTACACACCTGCAAAACAATTCAATGTAGAAATCAAGCAATTTAACAGCATTTAACAGATTTCTTAAAAATTCTAACAATGCAATTTAACACACTACAGAAAACACTGATAATACTGATATATTTTCAGATAATCTACTTCAAATTCAAAACTTAGAATGTTAGAGAATAAATATATTGACTTTATGTTCATAAAGAGTACTGTTAATATGCCATACATGGCTTTCAGTTTTCACTAGGTCACAGTATCTAAGTAAACATACACACACACATGAAACATAGGACTTTCTCTAGTCTATTAACTAAAAAGACACTAAATTCTCACTAATATATAAGCTCTATGCTTATCAATGTCATTGACTGAGTTTCCCCTTTAGAGCCATACAGTTTCTACTTTTTTCCTGCTGACAACAGAGAAAAACAAAAATACTGACTGATTGATTGATTGATTGATTGATTGAATAAGTCTTGCTCTGTTGCCCAGGCTGGAGTACAGTGGCATGATCTTGGCTCACTGCAACCTCCACCTCCCGCGTTCAAGCAATTCTCCTGCCTCAGCCTCCTGAGTAGCTGGGATTACAGGTAGTATTTTTAGTATTTTGTATTTTAGTTTGTCAGGCTGATCCCGAACTCCCGACTTCACGATCTGCCTGCCTCAGCCACCACACCCAGCCAACGAAAATATTTTTAAAGGGCTCTATAAAAAGTGTAAATTTTCAATTATAAGATGTTTAACACATATCCTCTGAAAAATGTGTGCATGCATAAAAAGGCAAATGTAAATATGGTTGTATTAACTTCGGTACACCCTAGCTTCCCATAGCAGCAGGTGGATCACTTATAGTCACAAAACAAACCATGAAAAACATTGTCACTTGATTTTACTCACCTGTGGTTTTCTGTGTTTCTAACGATTTCCCCTTGTAAGTATTAAATAAACTGAGTGTTGCATACTTTTTCCCATCCTTTGCTTTTGTGCTCTGGCCTGACTTCTCCGACATTTCGGTGGAAACTCATCGAGTCCAAAACCTCCTGCCACACCCCTTAAAACCCCAGTCTGTAAGATGCAAAAAAAAAAAAAAAAAAAAAAAAAGGATTAAAAAACTCAGTAAATTCAAATGTTCACAGGAATTCTGAAAAATAAAACGTCCCATATCAATGATAATTTCATAGAACTTTTTAATACTGCCAAATTCCAATAATCAATACACAACAAAATTGATCATAATAAGCTCATGAACTTGTGAAATATATCAGTTACACGTAGTTTATAACTGCTTAACTCTGTCATAGAAAATAAGGGTTATAATTCCATGCTGACGTGAATAGTTCAAATACAGTGAATCTATTGAGACTGTCTATTTTGAAAAGATATATTATCCAATTTAATATGCTTGAAATGGCTGACATCAACCTATGCACATAAAATCCAAATGACAGGAGGGCCTCTTCATTCCCTTACGAATTATATACCTGTATCATTAGGCAATATGTGCCCAACAAAGCTCTATTAATTTAACAGCCTATACAGAAACAACATTCTATGTCCTCATTTTGTGAAAGGTAAAACATCTCCTCATAAACACAAGGTATATAAAAATAACCTATTCCATGGCTATGGACTAAATATTCAAAAAATAGTATGCATTTTTCAAAGTACATATATGAAGTCCCATTACATATAAGAAGTTGTTAGAAATAAATAACATTTTCATAAGCATTCAAATACAAAGAGAATTCTCACCTTTAGAACTAACATACCCTAATCTTGGTGATGCACTGTAACCTAAAGTTAGTCTATTAATAAATAGGAGAAAAAGATAAATTAAGTCTCATAATATTTCTCTTCGATTTAAAGAAGTTGTGTACACATATCAACATAAGGACTGTTTGTGTTTTTGATGGGTTTGTGTACCAGTTGAGTAGAAGATGACTAATTCTACCACAGAAACCATCAGTAGCTAAAAACATTAAGAACTGAAACAAAGGAGCTAAAGATAGTACAAAAAAGGTATACCATGCAAAAAGCATCAAAGTAAAGCTTATACCCACTTTACTTTTATAAATTTCATTTCATACATTATTTTTGTATTTGTCAACTGTAGAATCGGCAGAAATGTCATTTTATGTGCATATAAAATGCCACCCAATGTTTGTATAGTTTCATTAAATTTATCAAGCACTCTCACACCTATGATATCATTTCAGTCTAATAACTTTACAATGTAGCTACTATCTTGATTTTTACACATAATGACTAAACTAGATTAAATTTGAAACTAGGTGTCTGGTTCAATCTACTACCCTGGGCTGCCTCCTCCCACATAACAGTATGGATAACCATTTCACTTTACATGTGTATATTTACAATAAACACTCAGATCTACTGAATCAAACTCTGAGGAGGGGGCCCAGTACTCTATAGAAAGTCTTCCAGATTGATCCTAAGACTTACAAAACTGTTAAAACCTACTGACTTCTTATAAGCAGATATATTCTAAGCAGTGATTCTCAACTCTCGTATACAAATCTAGGAGAAGGGGGGAAACTGGGCATCAACTTAAAAAAAAAAATTCTTCAGGTGATTCTAATTAAAAGTAGTTTGAGATTCACTGCAATACAGAAAGTTTATCTTTATTCTCATTCCATTTAAGGTCAATCTTTCCTCTAGTGCTCTTCATCCTATCCCCACTTTCCTTCTTATCTAACCTCTTGTCTAGGAACTCTCATTAGCTCCTTTGGCTTTAATTACTAACTGATTACCTTCAGCTCAGTACACCTGAAGAATGTATCCCCACACTGCCTATTTACATTTCTTTGTTTTGAACGAAGCTTTGCCTTTAACTAGAACAGAGGTATCAACTTCATAGCAAAACTTTAAGAAGCAAGCCTACTAAATATTCTGTCCAGTGTAAAGAGAAAAATGATGGTTAAAAAATTAAATTGATGGTTGGTGAAGAAAATAATCAACACTTGAGAAAATGTAAATATGTTGTAAGAACTCAACAAATTGAAGAAACCCAAAGAGTAAAGCTATGAAAAGACAATTCACCAGGGAAATACGAGTAAGCAGCTGGGCACGGGGTGGCTCACGCCTGTAATCCCAGCACTTTGGGAGTCTGAGGTGGGTGGATCACCAGGTCAGGAAACGGAGACCATCCTGGCCAACATGGTGAAACCCTGTTTCTACTAAATATACAAAAATTAGCCCGGTGTGGTGGTGTGTGCCTGTAGTCCCAGCTACTCAGGAGGCTGAGGCTTGAACCCAGGAGGTGGAGGATGCAGAGAGTTCAGACTGCGCCACTGCACTCCAGCCCCTGCGACAGAGCAAGACTCTTCAAAAAAAGAGAAAGAAATGCTAGCAAGTGTATTAAAATGTCCAGTGTTAAACTAAACAAAAATCAAAATAAGATATCATGTTCACCTCCTCCATATTCTTATAAAGGAAAACAATGTAATAATACACAATTTACCCACAGGGTTACAGAATATCTGATTTATCTCTAGCCATCACAGAACACTCAAGCTTGAAAGAATCATCAAATGAACCTTAATTTCCCTACTTAAAATCAAGACAATACCAATCCTTCTCAATAACACATCAAACCAATTATATACCATGACCAAGTCTGATTTATCCCTAGAATCCAAGATTGGTTTAACATATGCAAATCAATGTGATATACCACAATTTCATGAAAATAACCAAATGATCATCTCAATAAATGCAGAAAACCGTGTGACAAAGTTTAACATCCTTTCACAAAAACTGTTGAAACTAATAAATGAACTCAGTAAAGCAACAGGACACAAAATCAACATACAAAAAAATCAGTTGCATTTCTTTTCACCAATAACAACCTAGCTGAAAAGGAAATCAAGAAAACTATCCCATTTACCATAGCATCAAAAAGAATAAAGTACTTAGGAGTAAATCTAACCAAGGGAGCAAAATACCTGTACACTGAAAACTAAAATATTGATACAAGAAATTGAAGACACAAATAAATGAAAAGACAGCTCACATTCACAGATTGGAAGAATACTGTTAACCAGTCAACAAAGAAAGACCTGAGAGGATCAGAGGGGAACAGTACCTAAAGTTCATAAAGGGCTGGGAATAGTGCCTGTCTGACAAGCAAAACTAAAAAGATAACATGACGTGTTTTACCAGGCATTAGGTAGAGTTTTTTTTTTTTTTTTTTTTTTTTTTT